GTCCTGAGTGGTCATGGCGTGGCAGGAAGTTGTCAACGGTTCCTGAGACACATGGGTGCTATTGTGGGGGGAGGGGGGCACCAACCTTGAATATTCCATGGGGTGGGGGTGGGGTTGGCAATGCAGATCAGAATTCCCGTACGTCTGAAGAGACATGTCAGGCTAGAATCCACTCCACTAGAATATGGGGCCCATATACTCTGATGCCAAATTCAAGGGCGTCTCAGCCATCCTTCCCTGCCCTCCAAGTTCTAGATCCAATCTGCCTCAGTCAATCAGTGTTCGTATTTATGGCCGAGTCCCTTTCTTATCTGTGAGACAATCGAGTTGGGGGCAGGGCAGCCCTCTTTCTCACCATCCCCTCAGCCCTCCCCAGTTCTCTCACTCATCTCCCACTCCCTTTAACCACAAAACTAGGTGCTGCAGCCCCAGGACTGGCCACCCTTAAAATGATCCCTGCCCAGCAGTGGGAGTTGGGAGACAGAGTCTAGGAGGGTTCCCCTGGCAAACCCGGCTCTAGGGCCGCTACACTGGGCATTGCAGGGGTGAACTAGTGTTTTTCTCCCGTTTTAGTTTGTCAAAGATGGGGAGGGTAGGGGAGCACATGAGCCTGTGTTGCTTTCAAAATGAAAACCTAACTTGTACAATTTTTTTTTTGAATAAAACTTTTCCAATAAAATGTTACAGGAGCGTGGACGTAGATGAGAGAAGGTTCCCATATCATTTTTTTCCCCCAAGAGACAGTCTGTGCATTAAATAGGCCATACCTAGCTCTGGAATGCTGGCTGATGGCTGAACAGTGTGGCCTATGGTCACTGTGCTGACTAGGGGCTATATTCTCTTCTGAAACCCTGGAGAAGTGAACCCGGGCACCCTGGTCCTGCACGTTGAGGGGTCTTGCTTGTCAGCCCTCTGGTCTCAACCTAGGGGCCACAGAGGGCAAACGGGCACATGAGAAATTAATAGGCTTACTGCTTGGTCTAAGCTGTACAGGGGAGGCTAGTGAAAATCCTCCTTCCAGACATACCTCACATACTGGGTTTGTGACCAAGGAGGAACCCAGAGCCCCTATCCTCATGTCCGCCTCCTGTGGTCCTTAGGATGCCTCAGGATGGAGATGGGAGTGCAGAGAGGCAGAGGAGACTGGCACTGAGCTCCACCTCTGCTGGCTATGACCTTGCGCAGCTCATGCCTCTCCTGTGTTCCCTCTACTGCCAAGTCCCCCTGGAGGGGTTTGGGCCACCGATGGTCCCTTACCTTGGCCAGACAAGTTAACCAGGTGGAGGTGGAGCTGTAGAGGGATGCCCCTTTCTCAGCACCACCCCACTGAGTTTAAACAAAACTGTTTAGAAACCCAGACCTGACCTGTCCTTTGAACTCAATCCATTAGATGTCCACTCTCAAGGGTCTTCATCTGGAAATGGACACTTGGGGTTAGTGACCATCTTGTGCGTTCAGGGCTCACTACATTCCAACGAAGCCTTTGTAGTGGGTGTCAGCTGCTCTTGAGAGGCCATGCAACACAGTCCCATGCCTACGCCAGCTTCTTTGCCACATTTTCTTATTTCTGAAGCACTGGGACACTGTACTGTATGTCCAGCACAGTGCTCAGCACATTGCCTGATAAAAGAGAGATGGTCCAGTGGTTCTGTGTTGCCTAGCAACACCACCGAGGAAGAGGACTCCCTCTCTCTTCCCCAGCAACCATGAGCTGTCTACACCTCCTTCTCTCCCCCCGCCCCCCATCATGATGAAATGCTGATCACTCCAGTCTTGTGTAGGTAGCTGTTCTCAGCTGCATCTAGTTCCTGTTTGATTCCCACAGGAGCCTCCAGGCATGCTCGTGTAAAAGGTGTTAGAGGGGAAAGGATTATCTGAAAGATGATAATAATAATAACCCACCCCAAGTCTTCTCCCCAGCATAAGTCAGAAGGAAAACTGATTTGGGGAAAATCACAGACAGACTTGAATAATGCAGGGGGTTGTTTTGTATGTGTGTGTGTGCGCGTGCATGATGTGTGTGTGTGTGTGCGCGTGTGTATGATGTGTGTGCATGTATAATGGGCGTGTGTATGTATGATGGGTGTGTGGTGTGTGTGTGCGTGTGTATGATGGGTGTTTGTGTGTGTGTATGCTGGATGTGTGTGTGTGCGTGTGTGTATGGTGTGTGTGCGTGCGTGTATATGTATGATGGGTGTGTGGGGTGTGTGCGCGCGTGTATGATGGGTGTGTGGTGTGTGTATGCTGGGTGTGTGTGTGCATGTGTGTATGATGTGTGTGCATGTATAATGGGCGTGTGTATGTATGATGGGTGTGTGGTGTGTGTGTGCGCGTGTATGATGTGTGTGTGTGTATGGTGTGTGTGCGTGCGTGTGCACACACATGTATAATGGGCGTGTGTATGTATGATGGGTGTGTGGTGTGGGTGTGCGCGTGTATGATGTGTGTGTGTGCGTGTATGATGTGTGTGTGTGCGCGTGTGTATGGTGTGTGTGTGTGCGTGTATGGTGTGTGTGTGCGCGCACACACACATGTATAATGGGCGTGTGTATGTATGATGGGTGTGTGGTGTGGGTGTGCGCGTGCATGATGGGTGTTTGTGTTTGTGCACGTGTGCAGAGGTCGGAGGACAACTTTTGGCTGCCTCCCCTTATGTGGGTCCTCGGGTTTTGCAAGCCTTTAACCTGGTGAGAGCCGACCCACTAGCCGACCCACTAGCCGACCCACTTAGCCCTTGGAGTGGTTTCTGTTACATTGGCTTCCACATGGGCGACATGGTTCTGCTGTCAGGCTGTTCTAGATACGGTGTGTTCGTGAGAACGTATGTTGTCACTTGGTGTGAAGCTAGCTGACCGTTTCCCTCTCTTTCTCTATAAGGAGTTCCTGGTGCAATTTTCTTCCTCTTGACGGGGCTGACAGTGCACCGTTCTCATCTCGTCTTAAGTCTCTGACTTTCTGTTATGATTTATTGGTAGGGATCAGGACAGCATTCTGCCCACCACATCAGTTATACCCTGGTCCTAGTAAGTGGCAGGTCTTGCAGATGCATCAAAGCAGGGAAGACTGCTCAGCCACCATAGTCGGTACGGTACTTGCTATATACAATGGTTGGCTTTTATTGCCACCATGATATAAACCTAGTCACCTGGAAAGAAAGAACCTTATTCCCTCTTTCTTGAGGGTTCATCCCCTCCAGATATGAGCCTGTGCCTTTCCGCGTTGTACTCTTGAAGCTAGGAGTTAGCTTGAGTCTCAACCCACCTTACATCTTATTATTACAAGACCAGAGTCGTTTTGCTAGGCATGGCAAAAGACAGGAGTCCCAGCACTTAGGAGGCCAAGGCAGAAGGATTCCCCAAAGCTATGGGGATCCTGTCTCAAAACAGGCAAACAAACAAACAAAAATAAGCTTCTAGATTTGTACAGCAACAATGAAAATGGATTGAGATTCCTTACAGCAGAGACCCCGCTTCTCCACAGAGCACACGCTTTGGGGAGAGATTGCTGCATGTGTGACTGGGCGGGGAACTTGGATTATTTAAATTTATTTAAAAGGAAAAACTGGGTGGTGGTGACGCACACCTTTAGTCTCAGCACTTGGGAGGCAGAGCAGGTGAATCTCTGAGTATGAGGTCAGCCTGGGCTACAGAGTGAGTTCTAGGGCAACCAGGGTTACACAGAGAAACCCCGTTTCAAAAAGAAACAATAAACAAAAAAATACAAAACAAAACCCAAAACACCTATTTTATGGACACAGTAGCTCACACATGTCTGTAATTCACGTACTTAGAAGGCAGGAGCAGAAGGATCCTGAGTTCAAGGCCAGCCCAGTTTACACAACAAGACCCCACTATGTAACCTGGCTTAACTTTACCCACTGGGTTCAAATTATCCTCCTCCTTCAACCTCTTGAGCAGTTGGGACCATTGTCCCCAGCTAATGCAATGTTTATAAACCTCGTATTCAGTTGTCAAGGATACAGAGTGAGCAACAGCAGTGTTGAGTCTCGTTAGAGAGTCCCGAGATGATCAGTGAGCTTTACCACTGACCCTGTGACCAACAAGAGTCACCCCTAACTTCCCCAGCTCAGTTGAAGGCCTGCTTCTATTTCATCTGTGGGCTTCAGCTCTGACCCATCCAGAGCTCAGCCTGCTGGGATTGGCCTCTGGTGAGCTTTCAAGGCTCAGGTCCTTGCAGTACCTTGGCACTTAGGTGATGGGCCCTGCCCTCGGTCAGCCGGCATTGTTTACTGATGTGCGGCTATTTCCTGGGGATCGGAACATCTCCTCCTGGAGGGAGGCTGCAATGTGCAGAAGGTGAATGGAATTTAAAAGGCAGGAGACTGGGGCTGGAGAGATGGCTCAGTAGTTAAGAGCATTGCCTGCTCTTCCAAGGGTCCTGAGTTCAATTCCCGGCAACCACATGGAGGCTCACAACCATCTGTAATGAGGTCTGGTGCCCTCTTCTGGCCTGCAGACATACACACAGACAGAATATTGTATATATAACAAATAAATAAATATATTTAAAAAAAAAAAGGCAGAAGACTCCTGAAACACACAAGATTCCCAAGGCCCTACCTCAAAGCTATATGAGTAAGGATCTCAGGATCTGGAAGATTATCCAGCAAGTCATGCAAAGGTCTCCAGGGACACAGTCTTAACGAGTCTGGAGTTGATCAGTGACGCAACTCCCTTTGAGCCAGGCATGCTTCTCCTGCAGGTAACCCCTTACCCACAATTCCGTTAGTGAGCCCAGTAAACTCACTGGTCGCTAAACTAGATGTGTGGGACCCATTAGGGGCAAATGGATATCTGCCCGTGTCCATCTGTCCAGGGAAAACCACCCAGCACCCACGCACCCCTGGGTCATGCTGACGGATGGGTGTTTCTGACTTCACAGACTGACTGACCCACTCTCCGGTGCGCATGGCATGTACACACACAAGCATATACGCTACACACTCCAGCACACAGAGCCAGAGAAAGATACTGCTGAGCCAGAGGGACCGGTTTTATTAGATTCCAGCAAGACTAGACAGCACGGTTTCATGCAGAATAAATATATGTCTTTGCCTCCCCAGGAGGGGAGCTCTTCCATGGCCTGCTCCTTCATGGCATTTCAGGGGAATCAAGGGGATCCCTCAAAATATTCTGCATGGGGAACGGTTGGGATCATGACTGGGGGTGAAGGTGACACCGTGGACAGCTGAGGGCCTCTGGGACCTTGAATCTTCAGAGGGTCAGGGGCCGCAGGACCTTGGTCCATTGTTGGGGCTGGCACCAGGGGATCCTGACCCTTCAGAGGTACTGGGAAAAGAGGGTCTTGGCTCTTTACAGGACCAAGGACCACAGGGCTTTGATTCTTTGGAGGTTCTGGGACCATGGGACCTTGATCCTTGGCTAGTGTTGGGATAATGGGGTCTTGGCTCTTCACTGGCTCAGGGGCCGCTGGACCTTGGCTCTTTACAGGTGTTATGAACACGGAATCATAGCCCTTCATCTGCCCGGGGACCACGGTATCTGTACCTATACCTTTGACTGGCTCTGGGTCAGCTAAGCCTTGCTTCTTCATGGACTCAGAGACCACAGGGGCTTCATTCTTCAAAGGCGCCGTGACTGTGGCATTCTGGTCCTTTCTACGCTCGGGGACCACGGGAGTTCCCTCTTTCCCATGTTCAGGGGCCACAGGACCCGTGTCCTTGAGAAGTGCTGGTGTTGGGGAGCTTTGATCCTTCGCTCTGGCTGGAACCACGGGACTCTGGTTCTTCAGCGGCTCCGGCAGCAATGGGCTTTGGGCTTCGGCTGGTGCTAAAATGACAGAACCTTTGTTCTTTAAAGGCTCGGATGCCACCTGGTCTTGATCCTTGACTGGTGCTGGGGCCACCGGACCCAGATCCTTCATGGGCCCTGGGAGTACAGCACCTTGATCCTTTGGAGGGCCCAGGGGTGGAGGGCCTTGATCCTTTATGGACCCGGGGGCCACGGGACCGTGATCCTTTGAGAGTTCTGGCACCATGGGGCCTTGGTCCTTCAGCGGCTCTTGGACCACAGGACCTTGGCCTTTCGAAAGCCCTGGGACCACAGGACCTTGATCCTTGTGGGGTTCTTTGGCTACAGGACCTCGATTCTGTGCATCACTGGCGGGTTGGACCCGGCTCCTGCAAAGGAGAGAGAGGCGGTCACTGAGGGTCAAGCTTTGGCCAGGGAGAGGGCAGAACACAGATTGCCTGATGAGACTCGGCCTCGTAGGGCCTCGGCAGGGTAGCTCTTAGTGGAGGATCAAGAGGAAGTCGGACTTCTGCATCCAGAGTGGGTGCAGGGTGGGAGGAAGGGCAGCCCAGGGAGTCAGTCGTTCAGTGTGTTTGCCAATTGATTATAACCTGCATGTGGCAGAGGGCACGGTGCCTGGGAGACAGCAGCAGTAATGCCCACAGAAGGTCCCCCCAACCCATACTCCATCCAGCCCTACTTCTTCCTATACTTCCGGGTCCATCCCTGGAGCCTCGTCTTAACTATCTGCTCAATGCTTATGGAGACCCAACGGCTTTGCCATTTTCCTAGTCTTTTCCCAGGTTCCTTTCCTCCCCTGACTCTATGAAGGAGTGGTTCCTGGCAAGGACAAGGGTCTATGGCATATCAGGAAAGGGTGGTTAAGAATATCCTTCTTACCCCCCCCACACACACACAAGAGAAAGAGTATTTAATCATTTATGTTTAGAATAGTCCGCACATGGTAATAATAAAAATGAATTGTTTAAAATATAGCTGCTCAGCTCTCTGCATGCAGTGTACCCCACATTGCCTGCACCATTCCCCACGCCAGCCTTCAGTAGACAGCTAGGGGCTCCCCACCCAGGTCCTTGGTACCCTTTCTCTATCGGCACTTCCACTTCCTCCCCAGACCCTTGAATTCATTGGTTCTAGGGCTCCTGGGATTATTCCCCAAATCCAAGTGTCCAAACCCCTCTCCAAAGCCTTCCTGGGATACTTGCCCTATGTGACTGCAATCTCCCACCCATCCCTCGGTCCACGCTCATTGCAGAGCGCATGCGTGAACGCCACCACCTGAGGGCAAACATCACCAACTCAGACCTGGCCATTCTGGAGCCTTCTGATCTACACCGCACACACCTTCCTCGTAGGCCAGGCTGAAAGACGCTGCTCAAAACTGGCATTGCTCAGCCCGTATCACAAACCCTTGCACACCCAGGCACATTCCACCTGCCAAATCACTTCTTCCTACGGCTCAGGCCGGCGAGACAGAAGCCCTCTGAAACACACGGGTGTGAGACACACCCTGCTTGTTCAGCTCAGAAGCTGAGGTCTGGAGACAGCAGGTGAAGAGGAGGTGTGGTACTGGCAGGAACTAGATCCTAGATCTTTCTGCTTCTGGGGCCTGAGTGCTTTCTCTCCGAGGGCCTGGCTCACAGCAGTCTTTAATATAAGACACTTCTCAGCTATTATTCATTTATACTTCATAACAACAGAATCTGTAAGGTTAGACCCAAGTTAGCATTTTAATAGACCCTGACAGGTCACACACACACACACACACACACACACACATATATATATATATTTTTTTTTTTCCTGGAACTGGAGTTGCAGATGGCTGTGAGCCACCTTGCAGGTGTTGGAAATCTAACCTGGCTCGCGCGAAGAGCAACAGATGTTTTAACTGCTGAGTCAGCTCTGCAGGCCCCCTAGTCAGATTTCTCTTATTTTGTTTCCCTTTTCTTTTTGGTGCTGCTGGACTGGGGCTGGAACTCAGGGCTTTTGGTCCTATAGAGTAAGTGCTGGGTGTACCACTGAGCCACATCCCTGGGGATGACTTTGAACTTCTGCCTCCTGCCTCTACCACTAGGATGTTAGGATCACAGGGGTGCTGCGTTTTGTTTTGTTTGTTTTGTTTCATACAGTTCGAGCACTGAACTAGGCAAGTACTCTACCCCCTGATATTTTGCTAGCCCTTCCCTACGTCAGGATATTTTCTCCTATTACAGTTTAACCCTATGGGCCTCCGGCTTCTCATCTGTTCATTGTTTGTACTGATATTAATGCAGGAATATGTAATGATTGGCAGACAGGGACACAGAGCATTTGAACCATGGTTAGCATCGGGCAGTTGTACAAGTCTCTATTTAATTAGAAGCAAAACACCACATATCCCACTTATTTTTGCTCCACAGTGCAGCTCTCTGCTGTGTTTAGGATCTCAGGTTGCCTGGGAATGGCTGTCTCAGCAGATTGCACAGTTATGACGTAAGTAGCCTGTCTATCCTGTCCCCGTGGCTACCATTGAACAATACAGAGGCAAGAGAAGGCCACTTCAGCCTTCTGGCTCAGCGCCACACGGAGCCTAGCTGCCCTGGCCAGGTTGTCACCGTAGAAGCTAAGAGTATGTAAGCAGAAAGCAAGGCAGGGCTGTGAGAGGGTGCAGAATCCAAACGGGCACGAACGACCCTCCAGCGTCAAAGAACTTAGAAGGGACCCAAGCAGGAACCCTGTTAGATTTGTCTCTTCAGATCTTTGGGTGACCTGGTTGCCATCTTACGGAAGCTCAGGAAGAGCGACCAGGCCAAACTCAGGACCTCCGCTGCAGCCTCTAGCCCATCAACGGGGCATTGGCGCCCCCTGCTGACGCAAAGTTTATAAACACGGGCAGCCCTCGAGCTGGGTGCTTGCATCCTTGGCTCTAAGCCTGAACCTTCTCTGCCACGTCTCATCAATACGGCTCTAACCCCATATTGATCTGTCAGTAAACCCTTACCTTAGTAGTTAAATCTTCTTAATCATGAGTTTTAGGATTAAGATTAGAAATGGTGGCCAGCAAGATAGCCTGCTTCCAAGCGTGATACTCCCTTCATTTTCCCAAACCCACATAACGGAAAGAACCAACTTCCACAAGTCCATTCTTTGACTGACACATGTGTGCATTTGCCCATATACATGCATGCGCACACCCACATAAATAAATGTAATTATAACTTTTTTTAAAAGAAAAAAGGGGCTGGAAAGGTGGCTCAGAGGTTAAGAGCATTTTCCGCTCTTCCAGAGGATCTGAGTTCAGTTCCTAGCACCCACGTGGTGGCTCACAACTGACTGTAACTCCAGTTGCAGGGGATAGGAAACCTCTTCTGATTTCAGTAGACTCCTACATGCATGCACAGAATACACTCAGACACACACACACATACACACACACTCAGACACACACACACTCAGACACAGACACAATCTCACACACTCAGACACACACACTCTCACACACACTCACTCTCACTCACACTCTCACACACACACTCACTCACTCTCACACACACACACACACTGCATGTTTTTAAAAGACTAGAAATGAGCTTTGTCAGGCGGTGGTGGCACACACCTGTAATCCCAGCACTTGGGAGGCAGAGGCAGGTAGATCTTTGTAAGTTCAAGGCCAGCCTGATCTACAAGAGCTAGTTCCAGGACTGGATCCAAAGCTACAGAGAAACCCTGTCTCGAAAAACCAAAAAAGACTCCATTGGAGAAATGAGCTGAATAAACTCAAAATATGCCTCTTTTCTTTTTCTTTTTTTTGTTATTAGCTTTAGGAAAAGTCTGTGTAGATTTAGTTCAGAAGTTCAAGTTAGTTTGGTGAATTAGACCATCTAAAATTAGCTTATTACTCCAATATAAAGTACGTAATGAAATAACTAAGTTGCACTTATAAATTTTTCTTACATAATTTTTGCAAATTCATTCAAGACACAAACAAATAATTTTAAAAAATTCTGGGGAATTGGTGCTGTCCCTCAGTGGGCAGCCTGTTTGCGTGGTATGCACAAAGCTTGGGTTCCATCTGAGAACCGTATAAACTAGCCACAGAAGCCAGGCCTGAGTCCCATCACTTGGGAGGGGAGGAGGGGTGGCAGGAGGACCATGAGTTCACGGTTATCCTGACTGCATTAAAATTTGGAGGCTAACCTGGGCTTTATGAAACCTATCTCAAAATACAAACCCAAAACCACCTTCTGGCTTATGACACTTGTAAGGAAAACCCTAGCATGTGAGTCTGGCAGTTTATCAGAAGTAAAATCTGGGAACGAAAGCGGCTCTGGGGAATGAGTCATCTGATCAGCCCTTGGGAGGGACGGTGAGCAACACTGGGTCTTTCGGATACACAGCCCAGCAGCGGGATGCTGTTTTCCTATTGGCAAGAGGCAAAACCAAACTTCTGTGCTGTACTCTCAGCACTTCTGGTGAGGCCACACAAGAACCGGACAATGCCAGGTGTGGTGGTGGCGCACGCCTTTAATCCCAGCACTCGGGAGGCAGAGCCAGGCAGATCTCTGTGAGTTCGAGGCCAGCCTGGTCTACAGAGCGAGTGCCAGGTCAGGCTCCAAACCTACACACAGAAACCCTGTCTCAAAATTAAATAAATAAATAAATAAATAAATAAATAAATAAATAAATAAATAAATAAATAAATAAATACAAGCAGCTATATGCATTTGAACATTTGAATGGCTGTCACTCCCTCCCCTCTCCTGCCCGTGGGTCCCACTCCCGCCGTCCGCTCCCCTCTCCTGCCCGTGGGTCCCACTCCCGCCGTCCGCTCCCCTCTCCTGCCCGTGGGTCCCACTCCTTCCCATTTTCCAGCTTTCACACTAGCTAAAACTCCCCTCCCCCACCACGGTCTCTTCCCTCTTCACTCTGCACCCATTTCTCAGCTCACTGCAGCTGCCCTAGAGAACCTGCCCTGACCCCAGTCATGGCTCCAGGGAGCCCACCAGCTCTCTCCAACCCTTCCTATGCCATCTGGATGTGTCCAGAGGGCGGGGACCAGTGTTTGCTCACAATTGTATCTTCTGCATTTTACACACCATATCGCCCACGGACAGGACCAAACTATAGGGCTGAGTGTTTGCCAGTGAATGCATGGACAGGAATCTTTTCTGCATTGGGCTCTCTTATTTCGAATGAACATTTTAAGGCTGTGTGAGACACAGAGTCTCAGACGCCGCACTCTCTGCCTCTTGTTTCCATGGAGACAGTTGGTGCCTCTAGAGTCCAGGGACACTGGATCCATTCTCCCAGAATCTGGGCATGAACGTGGGTGTGCCTGTAGTCCCAGCAATTGGGAGGCTGAGGCAGGAGGGTTGCTGTGAGTTCAAAG